CCCCCCCCCCCCGTAGTCGGCGCCTATGACTATGCGCACGATTAGATGTTTGAGTAAAAGATTAGAATAGGCGAGAATGAAGCAACAAATCAATTGCAAACTTTTATATCACGATGAATTCTATGCATTATATGACACGATAGTATGGAAGTGCAACATTGTGTGTCTAAATAATCAAAAGTATATCGAAACACCAACTGATTTGATTCGACTAATTATCCCCTTCTGTACTTGATCGTGTCTCACTCGCCTTTCATGCGACTCGATGTTGCACTGGATCGACATTTTGTAATCGAGTCTAGCATTATTACGTGGCTCAGGCTTACGGGGTCGCGAATAAAAGGTCCGCAGCCGCGCGACGAAGTGTTTCGTTTGTATCGCGAAACCTCTGTGGATACCTTTACGACAGTACGGTGTTAGGGACTCGCGAGAAATTGCCACGGTAATACATCGTATATGCGTGCATGAGTATTGCGTCAGGTCGTTGGCTTTCACTCTCTAACATGCCTCATAAACGTGCACGATACCAGAGTGAAAAGAGAGGTGTTCTCGGAATCGGTCTGAGAAACGGAAGGAACCACGTTCGATGTCAACTCGACGCGCGAAAAAATAAAATTTCACTACTTTTAATGAACGCATTGTTTCAACAAGTTGTCAGTTCCCGAAACGATGAGGCTTGCTCGAATAATTCTTTTCTTGTTGTGTGTTTGGAGGAAATGAGATTTATGATGAGATTATTTAACTGAGAAATCGTGGAAAAAAAATAAAAAGATATGATTAGCTGAGAGGATTTAAACAATATTAAACAAAGAGGATTTAAATTTTATCACGTATAACGTTTTGTCACTATGGCTCTCCATTATTGTTACGAGTTACACTGTCCATGTAATCGTACGCGCGCGGTTCCTCCATCCAATATCACATACTTTAATCTCTTTAACCTTCGTTCTCCGATTGCATCGTCGACGGATAATATTATTGTTTGCGCGTTAGCCGAGACGAGCGGATAGCGCAAGAACGCTTTGAGACACGCATTGGACGAAAAAGCGAGCGTTATATATATATATATATATACAATTACGTACGGGACTATCAAAGCATGAAAGCGCTATCGAGAACAAGGTAATTCAGAAAATCCCATGTTACTGCAAAATAAGAATTACAGGAAGACCGCAAGATCCGTTTGTAATAATAAACTTTGAATGTTTCTCAGAAAGTCTGTGTTTCCTACAACGCGCGATTACGGTAAAAATCTACGGTCTTTATCGCGATATTTTTCATCGCAATCATGTTCGTGCGCCTTTCTCGCGTCGCGCTGATTATATTAAATATATACCGCACACGCATTCCCCCGCGTGCAACGCATGCATCGAAGCGCTCGTGTGTGCCATTCACTCGGCGATATATTTGATCCCAGCTTCGGCGCCACATGAGATATTATACTTTATATATAATGCATGTACTTATATTGTAATACCCTCTGTGTACGCACGGGCCGACGTTATGATGTAATCGGCGCGAAATTCTCGGCGGTTTAGCTCGCGAGGGACGCTCGAGGCAATACCAAATGATAAATATCGACGAGGGACGATTCGAGGATCCTAGAAAGATCTCTTAGGAATCGCGACTCAGATTGCATCAGTAGTTATTAGCGCGGCTACCTCGGAGAAACTGATCGATCTGACCTACTGCAAGAGACGTAGGGGCAGCGGAGGCCTTCAAGGGCGCGACGTAATAGAACGCCTGGGGTTCTCTCTGCGATTCCAGCAGCTGGAGCCTGTGAGTTTGTTGCTGCTGTGGATGCTGCTGTTGCTGCTGCTGCTGCTGCTGCTGCTGACGACGTTGTTGCTGCGCGTAGAGCTGGTGGGATTGCTGCAACAACTGGGCCTGCTGCTTCCTGTAGAGCACCTCCTGGGGCTGGGCTATGGTCGGGGTGGGCGCCGACTGGGCCTGCTTATAGACCGGACGCTGGGCCTGCTGGTACTGCTGCAGCTGCTGCAGACCGAGGAAGGACTGGGGCTGGGCTACGAACGGTTGGAGTTTGTGACTGAGGCTAAAGTCACCCACGGTTTGGGGTAGTGTCTGATAAAGCTGGGTATTGTACTGACCGGTCGCGGGATCATACACGAGCTCCGATTGGTAGATGGGCTCAGCGGCTGCGGAGGCGGCGGTGACCGACGTCTGACCGGTCAACTTAACTCTCGAAGTGGGTTGGGGCGATGCTTGGACGGTCTGGGGCCTCGCAACAGGGGCTGCGGAAACGTGCGAGCCGACCGTGTTCACGTAACGCTCGAGTTCGGCGGCAAAGTCGAGATGGGGCGCATTAGCGGTGGTCGTAGTGCGCAATGGTGATATCGTGGGATGGGTCTGGGCGTAGAGCAGACTGTCGGGACGTTCCGTGCTACTAGGGGAGACATATTGCGCGGCTACTTGGGCGACGTGGGGTCGTGGGGTTATTGCAACCGACTGGGCCCTGACTGAGGGATGGCGGGTCACCGGTCGGCGAGTGGTGGTCTCGAGCGATTGATAGACGCTTGAAGTGACTGTAGGCTGGCTACGGAGGACGGGCGTCGCAGTAGTTTGATATTGGGCCGGGGTGGAAGCTAGCCTAAAAAGAGACGGACTCGAGGACGGCGAAGATTCATAAATGGCGGTGGAGGGCGTGACTTGCACTAAGGTCGAAGGTCTTCTAAAGGCTGATGGTCGCAGCTGCGGCTTCAGATCATCCTCAGTCAGTTCTTGGCTGGCATCATCGTCGAGCTGATACTCGGTTTGGAAAATCGTGGTGGGTGCACGAGTAGTAGTCGGTTGATACGTGGGTCTCACTGAGACAGGTCGAGGTATAGGCCTGACCACGGGATAATTCGCCGGTCCAGAGAGCTCCTCCTCCTCCTTTTCGGGTTCTTCTTCTTCTTCATCCTTCGGTGCGTTCGGGTCACAAGGGTTGCCCGAAACATAGGTGAACTCTCTTTTATTGCCGTCCGGATCAATGTAGCCGTATTTGCCGCGCACGACGCAATCGGTACCGCGGGTTTCCTCCTTGAAGGAACCGTCGGCCGCCTCGTAGCCGAAGGTGAAGGATCCGTCGTCATTAACCTTATTATAATTCCTGATTGTCTGTACTGGTGGCGGCTTTGATCCGTGCAGCGCATCCTTAGACCGTGGCGAAGGAAGCGCGCGAGTGCGCGGCTGATAAACCGCCACAGTGTCGAATTCGTCCTCGGCGGCCTGATTGTCCTCTTCCTCGTAATACACTTGAGGTCCTGTCACGCGAGGCCGGATCTGCGTTCGCCGTGCTTCCGTTAGGACGAGCAGACACGCCGGGATTACCTGGCAACGAAGAAGAATTTACTATGGTAGACAACACACGCTATTGCGATTGGTGCGCGGGGATATGATCATTAACGTGTTGATACGACGTTACGCGTGTTGCGCACAAAAGAAAGTGGCCGGTGCTCTTGTCGGATCGAAATTTTTAGAAAAGTTTCGCGAAGTGAAAACGGGAAGTGAGATAGTCATTTTCAACGGAAATCGCGATCTGTTAATTTTTAAGTTCTATTAAAATCTGAATAAATTAGATACGTAGTAAAATATTTGTTTTCTAAAATTTTTCAAGAAGATAATTACATGCACCATTAATATATTTCTACTTTTTACCAATTCGAAATGTTTTTACATTAAACACATAGAATGAGGTGATACAATTTCGAATATTGTACATTTCTGAATTAAATAAGATTCGTATTCGACTTTTGAGATTCAAGTTTAGTTTTTTCTGTATCCTTTAATATTCTTCACACAACGAAATTAGGGTTACTAAATTTGAACCTTGAAAATTTAATTCCAATTTTATTTTGTTCAGAATTGTACCATGTTCAGAATTACACTACATTTACATTTAATTAATATAATACATTCAATGTGACTTTGCACAGAGAAATAATTTTCCGAAGTAATGGGGAAGAATTCGAGAATTCTGATACTTAACCTCGGCATTTATATGCATCGAGAAACAGCTGAAACTTAATAAGTATCAGCAGCGTTAAGTAGAAATATACGATATATATCAGACGCTGGCGATTTTTTTACTTGCGGCGAATGGGGGAGATATATACGTGGTTTTATCGTGTTACGCGAGAAGCGTAATCGAAATTGTTGGAGCCATTCGAGACGGAATGGATATGGATCTTAGCCGGCTAGTCTAGTTTCCATGTACGAAGCCGGATCCGCGTTACGGAGGTACACGCTTATAGTTAATAGGAAACAGAAGATGGAGCGAGGAGAGAGCGAGTTTCGCGGATCAGTGAGCTCGTGTGTGCGCGAGCGGTATGCGCGCAAAATTCCTTATCGCTCGCTCGAACGCGACCGTATGCTCGGCTTCGCGGCTGTTAAACGAGAGTATGAGTGGTATACAGGTATACGGCCGCGGTCGACATCGTAAAAGGTTAGAGCTTGCTAGATTATATCTAGATTTGCTCTGATTCCACGACTGTGTCTGTTGCGGTAAATTCCATTTATAACGTGAATTTTGTTGTCGCGAATGCTTTTCAAATTCCTTCTTAAATTACTAGTCAGTTATTAGATCTTATGAATTAGATCTGATCGTTATCCAGATACTTTATAATGTACTTGATTGCTATTGTATTAATATTCAATGCTGTACAATCAAAGATTACAAAGATATATGCACTTAATGAAGTTGGGAGTTGACAAAAAGAGAAAAATGTAATACCTCGTAAATTGCTTAAATGAGAGATATATACTAATATACAAGATTTTTGTAACGAAGGATGTTTTTCTTATTGCTCTGTTTCCAAGTAGCAAGTTGACGTTATTTGTCATCATTTTAATAATATTAGAAAAATAATAAATGCTATCAGCTTGCTATCTGGATTATGAGTCATTATTTAAAGCCTTTCAATATTTCCCAGTTCGGAATTCATCACTTTACCGTATCTTGCTTACGAGATACGATACGCTCACGCGTTTTTCTCGCGAGGCTGACCGTGCGTCCTCTGACAAAACGTGGTCTCGACTTCCGGTAAGGCGGCTCTCGGTGGGAACCGCCCCGGCGCACACGTGTTACGTAATTTCTACTACTCGGCTGACCCGAATACGGGGCGAGGCAGGAGCGCGGTCGGCGTGCCTACCGTGAGAGAGAAAGAGATTCAGATTCAGAGCGTCGCAACGTAACTCGGCGCGCATGTTTCGCCGTCGTTGTCGGCCGCGCCGCCAGCCGCTTCTGGATCTCCTTGAACCAAGTCGAGAGCAAAACGCGCGCGCACACAAAAGACAGGCGGCGGTAACCACACCTAGTGACGACCCACAGGAAACGCCGTGTACTTCTTGCTGACTACAATAATATAAAAGATAGACACGCGAAGAAACAAAATCTATTATTCTTCGATTGCCGTGGACGTTGTATCAATCGAAAGTGTCAGTAACGCAGATTTAACGTTTTATATAATGATGCGTGGAGAATTAATGAGCCTTTTACTTTCCCAGACATTCTAGATTCGTATCTTCAATCGCTTCAATTAATGCTATTAATAATGCGTACATAATCAGTATCTTGCCTTTTAATTTTTATCTTCGCCGTAAAACGATCTTTGTTTCTACTGTCAGCACCGTTTAAAGAATAACGAAGAGAATACATGTCCGGACGCGGATACACGAAGTAGTCGTTAGATTCCGCACGATAATGTTCGCTCCTTGAAATGGTTTCGCGCCAGCCGAGCGCCGATAAGATCGATTCACTCGACTTCGCGATGACCTGATCGGGAATATTCGACGATTGGCACACGATCTGTCCTTGGGACGGGAAGGCACGTCCTGGGACTTTCGAGCCGATACGGTATGACTATAGCGTGCTCTCTTGGGCGTGCGCCGATTAATTTCCAAATCGACCCCGTGATAAAATGTTGGCGCCTTTCTTCAATGCCGACGACGACGACGACGACGACGTAGCGCGTTGCTGACGAAACGGCCACTGGACTCAATTCGGCGCACACATGACAAATGGGACGGTGTCGCAAGCGTGGTCGAGAAGTATGCGAAAGTTGTCTCTCATAAGCGATTGCTCAGCCGGAGCTCGTAGTCGCGAAATTCAATTGCAAACGCAAAGTTCGCGGGAACTGTAATGAGATGATTAACTATTCAGAGGTACAGTTCTATATCCCACTTTCGTATTTTCGTCACCTTCTACGAACCAATCGTTTAAATCGGTGGAGCGAGGAGAGAGCAAAGAGATAATCGGTACGTAGAATTTTCACGAGTAGCGCGAAATCCGTAACTTTCCGTTGCCATCATTGACGAAACTAGACGTTGTCGCTCTCCGAAGCTTTTCGATTCTTCCGGGTTCTGAATTTTTAGACGCTCGCCCGATCATTAGAATCGAGGTAAACTGTTTGATTATCTAACCGACGATCGGAGGGAAACGAAATTGGCTGCGTACTCGCTTCTAAGCGCTCCCTGAAAATAGGAAAGGTCTTCGATCGGTGGTACAAACCGATTCGCGATTATCGGACCCGTGCGGAGCGCGCGCGGCAGAGTTTCGACGAAATCGACGAGAAGACTTGCAACGTCGTCATTATCGTCGGCCACGGTATACGCGCTCGCAACTGTCCGGACCATTGAAAGCGTGTACAGGCTAATGACTCCTCCATCTGGTTCGGGTTAGTGGAAAATCGTGACGCCGAGGTAGGGCTCTGTAATCAACGTTGTGGCATGCCAGTCACATACAGTGAGAGGTACGGACACATTCGGTCCGTGGCCCGATCCAGTTGGGCGCAATCGACCACGGCGCACCACGCCTCGACTATAAGTGAGCCCCCGCGCGCGAAACTGTCCGGAGAAAGGAAGAATCGTTGCGCCGCGCAAATCCGCGGTCGCCGCGCTCAATAAGCATACGGCCTTCTTCTCGCGCGTACGCTCGTATCTTTAATTTCGATTATCTTTGCGGATAACGTTTTTGCGGGCAACGCTGTAAATTATCTCCTTTTTGTCCAGAAATGTGAAACACTCCATTAAGATCAAATCAATCCAAATAACAAGAAAATGAAGTAAGATGACTGCATTCAATAATGGCCTATTTGATGATTGTAGATAATTACGCACGTGGATAGTTAACCTTTAAACACCTTTTTATGACATATCCGACTCTTTTCTAATGCTTTTCCTTTGCTTTTCTATTGCTTATAACTTTTTTGTACGTATATAGCTTGGTACCGTTATGCTCCTTAGTATCTGACATTTTAATTAAAAAAACTTTTTATATGTACATTTTTATGAGCGTTATAAGCAATATGTACATTTTTATGAAAGTTATAAGCAAGTGGGTTGAGTCATACACCAGTATGTTATTTCTGTAGCGTGCGAAGCGTTTAGATAAGGGTTAAACCATTACTGCTCCCAAATAAATATTGAAAATATTTTTCGTATTTTGAATTAAGGAAATGGACGGAATAAAGGCCTAATTACAAAATCTTTTAATACAATTTTTAATAAAAATTAAAATAACTTTTTTATTATACACAAACGGGTATAGTATCAAATGAATTTATGTAATGTCTTTAAGAAGTTATAATACAATACTTCTCTATTACGATCAATATTATAAAAAAGCTAACCACCGGAAAAGGGTACCTAAGTAGAATTGTGCCTTTATTCCGCTGATCCTCTTAATGATCCTCTTTGATGTACAGAATGTTTCCTATTTTAAATCTTTTCAATATTGAACTCAACAAAAGTCGCAATGCTTAGCTGGGGGATATTGAGTAATCACTTGATTAATTGTAAGTGTTGTTGTTGATAAAAATTTAAAAATATTGATTAAATAAAAATTAGATTGATAATAGTATATCACACAGATAAGAGAAATAATTTATTTTCTTTCAAATCCAGCAAACTGAATCGACGCGCAGTTTATACAAATTGAAAAAATGTATTTGCAAATTTTCATATGAATACTATTAAGCACTAAGATCCATTTTGATCGAAAAAATAGGATTGTTTCTCTTATTTAATTTAAAAATACTGTATGCACAACTAAGATAAATTTGAGTAAGATGATCATCTTTAAAATGCAAAAAACATATTTTAATTTTTGTTATTTTTAATAGTGTTATATCACTATCTATATCTTTTCCACCATACGGAAAAGATATATTAATAATTTAAAAATGGCCATCTTACTCAAGTTTATCCTAAAGAAATTTTTGATATAACATCTGATTATAGTCCCATGATTTTTATGAAAGAAATAATCTTCAATATATTATGTAATAGCGAAATAATTACTTGCCGCCAAGATTCACAATCGCTCAATTTTA